GAACAAGACGCACAAGAAATGCACACCTGTTGGTTTGGAACGCGCATGCGATACTAATGTTTTCAAAGTACACTACTGGCCGAACAGATCACCTGGCGGAGTTTTCTCCAACTACCGGCGGCCACGGAGTATAGTACCGGAAAATTGCGGGAAGATCAAGCTCTCTCAAGATGTTTACTCACTCTACCTTCTTTCAGCATATCATTCCCCAAAGAGACAGACTCTTTTGCGGGCCTGGTTGTATAATTGGAAAGTCTACACTGGTGGTGGGAATTGCAAATGCAATTGGAACTGAGTGAATAACAAACCGCAATGAGCAAAAGAACGAACAGCTGCTCCAAAGACAATGAGCAAGATATACATATATTCTACAAGAAAACGGGTCGCCCTGAAGGGCGACCCTTTCTTGAACTTGATTTTTTTGCATAAGCATGATCATTAGGATTGTTGGGCTGGGCTTCCTGGGAAGGAGGAAGGGCGGGGCAGGGGTAGCGCTCAGGAAGAGTAGCGCGACAGGAGATCAGTGCGTGCGCTATATAAAGTTGTAGGGGCAGCAGCTGTAGACAGAAAGCAGAAAGGCGCCTCGGGTACAGACAGAGCAGCTGCCTGCCAGCTCTGAAGTAAGAAGCCAACAGGCCTTCTGACACCTGCACAGCGGAAGCGGAGCGGAAATGTGGCGACCCAAAGGCTCAGGCAAGTCGAGGCGCCGTCTCCGGTGCGTGATAAACTACCTAACAACACTGCGAAGCGGCCCCGCTGATCATGCGGCTCCGGCGATGGGGCAAGTGAGTGTCGTGGTGCAGACATTCGCCGGGCTTTTGCGTTCGTACTGTGGTGGCCTGGCCCTATTTCTACACCCAGAACACCTCCGGGGCGTGGGGACTTCAGTTGCTGCGCCCGATCATGCGCGCGCTAATCTATCGAAGGCGTCAGCCGCGGGATGGCGATCGATGGGGGGGGCCGGGCGATGGAGGGGCGGCGGCCGAGTACAAACGCACCAAGGCAAGGGACGGGCGGGCCGAAGTGGTTGGGCTTCGTGCTGGCCGTGTGCCAACGCAAAAGAAAAGCAGAAACATCTTTTGGCGCCCCTCCGCCCAGCAACTACGCAAAAGAAGCCGGCGCCGGGGCTCGCTTGGCGGGCCTTCACGCAAAGCAAGCAAAGGCTCAGGGCAGAAGGCCCGAGAGAGCGAGGGCCCGCCCGGCCCGGCCAATGGGGGGGGCCTCGGTCGGGGGGGCCCCCGGGGCTTCTGTTCGGGCGGGCCTCGCGGGGGGCCTCAGGCCCGGGCATTTGCCGGCGCCGGGGCTCGCTTGGCGGGCCTTCGCGCAAAGCAAGCAAAGCTTCAGGGCAGAAGACACGAGGGCCCTTCCGGGCTGGCCAAAGGGGGGGCCTCAGGGGGGGCCTTAGGGGGGGCCTCAGGGCTGTCAATAGGGCCACAGGCTCGGGCATAGGCCGGCGCCGGGGCTCGCTTGGCGGGCCTTCGCGCAAAGCAAGCAAAGCTTCAGGGCAGAAGACACGAGGGCCCTTCCGGGCTGGCCAAAGGGGGGGCCTTAGGGGGGGCCTCAGGGGGGGCCTTAGGGGGGGCCTTAGGGGGGGCCTTAGGGGGGGCCTTAGGGGGGGGGCCCATGCGGGAGGCCTCAAGGCTGTCATCAATAGGGCCGCAGGCTCGGGCATTTGCCGGCGCGCGCCGGGGCTCGCTCGGCGGGCCGGGCCTTCACGCAAAGCACACAAAGCCTCCGGGCAGAAGACACGAGGGCCCTCCCGGGCTGACCACAAGGGGGGCCTTCGGAGGGGGGGCCCCCGGGGCGGCCTCAGAGGGGGCCCCGGGCTTCTGTTCGGGGGGGCTTTGCGGGGGGCCTCCGGCTCGGGCATGTGAGTGCCGGCGCCGGGGCTCGCTTGGCAGGCCTTCAAGCAAAGCAAGCAAAACTTCAGGGCAGAAGGCCTGAGGGAGCGAGGGCCCTTCCGGGCTGGCCAAAGGGGGGGCCTTAGGGGGGGGGGCCGTAGGGGGGGCCGCAGGGATGCCTCAGGGCTGTCAATGAATAGGGCCACAGGCTCGGGCATTGGCCGGCGCCGGGGCTCGCCTGGCGGGCCTTCACGCAAAGCAAGCAAAGCTTCAGGGCAGAAGACAGGAGGGCCCCTCCGGGCTGGCCAAAGGGGGGGCCTCAGGGGGGGCCTCTGCCGGGGGGGGCCTCCGGGGTGCCTCAGGGCTCCTGTTCCTTCGGGGGGGCCTTGCGGGGGGCCTCAGGCTCGGGCATTTGCCGGCGCCGGGGCTCGCTTCGCGGGCCTTCAAGCAAAGCAAGCAAACCGTCAGGGCAGAACGCCCGAGGGAGCGAGGGCCCTTCCGGGCTGGCCAAAGGGGGGGTCTTAGAGGGGCCTCAGGAAGGGCCTCGTATCCCGTTCGGCTTTTCGGTAGAAACCGAAAAGCATTCCGAAGAGCCTTGCCGGCGCCTTCGACTGCGCAGCGAATAGCATTGCCCAGGAGGGCTACAGGGCATGCGTGTCATGCATTCCGAAGCGGCCCCGCCAGTAATTAAAATCAAAGGACAAAGCCGGGGCGGTAGCCAAAATATGAAGCCAAAGCCAAGGACTCACTTCGTGACTTTGTTTATTGTGTCCAAAACCAAAGCGGCCCCGCCCGCAATCAGAATGAGAACCGGCGGACCAGCCAAGGTAGACAGCGCGTGGCGCCGCCCGGGATTGTTCGGTCGCTGCCTGCGTCAAAGAAATGGTCGGCGATGATCTGCTTGGCTTTATGTTCTGTGGCAGACGTCTGCGAACGCTCGCGAAAAAAAGAGGGGGCCTAAGGGGGGGCCCAACCCACCCTCCTTGGGCAAAAGGGGGGGCCTCAGGGGGGGCCTTAGGGGTCGAGGGGGGGCCTGAGGGGGGGCCTAAGGGGGGGCCTGAGGGGGGGCCTGAGGCCCAGAATAGCGCTAATGATCATTATTAGTCTTGTAAT